TTCAAGGGCCCAGGAATACATGTTTCAGGTCAGCACAATTCATTTTCATGCTAGTCAACAGGAACAGCTTAATTATAGGAAGAAAATTACAAAGAAAAAACAAATTAACAGAGATCCTTATTAGAAAAGGGAGAGGAGAAAACAGCTGAAGTGTTAACCCTCCCCACGCAGTCTCTGTCACCATGGTGGCTGTAATTGGCTTTTGTAGTGTGGAGTAGAATAGTTATTTGTTCAGCACCAGCTGAGATACAAAGGCACTTCCTCCCCAAGCTCTTAATAATACAGAAGAATTGTTTCCTTCATCAGTTCTTGTTTTAATATAAGTGAGTAAACCTCAGAAGTGCAGCAGTCATTGACAGACAATTGGAAAAATCTCCTATTCCCACTGCTCTGCAGTTTTTAAACAACCGGTCTGTACAGAGAGCACTGCAGTCTGCTCGCTGTGCAGCTTTCGGTGCCTGGATAAAGGCGGTGCAACAGGCTCTCACAAAGTTCGCAGCAAGGATGGCTGGCTGCTTTTTTACAAGAGTTAAACCCTTACATTCAACATTCCTCCCCTTTCTTAAAAAAAAAACCAACACCAAACACTAAGCAAACCTGCTTTAATCTGTTAAAGTCCAGCTAATTCAGGGCACTTCCACCCCCATGTACTCACAGCATCTCGCTACGGGGGACGGGCAGCGCAGCCTGCTGCGAAACGCCCTCGGCCTCAAGCTCCAACCGCTTGTCTAGTCCTGGGGTGCTTCGCTACGAAAGGAAGGATTACTGGCAGCAAAGAGCCAGGCCTTCTCCTCTTCATGTCCTATAAATACCTGTTTTCCTTTTAAGAAAGGAATTAAAGTATTTGATTACCGGAGAAAACCCCCAGCAGGTTCTGTACCTGAGCAGCAGCACACACGGTCCCAGCCAGTTACCGGCAAACGCCAACGCCCGTAGGAAATCTGACCGGCGGGCAAGTGTGAGGCAGCTGGGGAAAACTCCGTTTTTCTCTTGGAACGTGAGCTTCACAATTCACGCTGCCAGAGCTCTCTGTTCGGGGTGGGGGGAGCTTTCAGAGCCCCACGGCTGGGTCCGGCGGGTGCCCCCGGGGAGGCAGCTCGCTCCCGGGAGGCACCTGCCGGAACACCACGGCTGTTCACGCGGGGTGAAGAAGTCAGGCCGAGCGGCTGAAGCGGGACCACTTGTTTTTGGCACGGTCTTCTGGTGAAAGCCACCCTCCGTGCCGCAGCCCCAGGCAGGGGTGACCAGCTCAGCCCTTCCCCGGCCGTACACGAAGCCAGGTGGAAACCAGACCCAGGCACCATCTGTGACCATTCAGGTGCTGCTCAGTTTGAGCTGCTCCCACACGTTCCCCAGAGCTCCCAGGCTCCACCTGACCTCATCACAAACAATCTGCAGATTCGCTTACATTTCAATTAAGGTTATCTGAACAACTAAAATAAGCAGAAACCCATGCATACTGAATTCCAAATGGATACACATAAATCACCAGGAGAGGCTAATTGATCTTTTTTGCTTCAATCAAGTGCTTGAGTTGAATTTGAAAAAAATAGTTTCATTAAAGAAAAATATCACTCTAAAATGCAAGTCTATCATTTCGAATTTTTTTAACCTAGCTCTGTTTCAAGACAGAAGTATCTCCCTTTCTCCCCCTTTCCTGAACCTCACATTTGCACAAAAAATTCATGATCATTTTGACCAGTCAAGAGAGTCTTTTTCAGCAAGTACTGGAAATAATAAAAAAAAAAATATGCAAATCTAGGGCTAGGCAAACAGGAGCAAGGTTCTCCTCCTCCAATCTGAGGTAACACAAAATGAGAAAAAAATTTCAGTCACGGTCCAGACCAAACCACAATGATCTTGAGATGCTTCTGTCAAAATCTCCACGTTTCTGTCCATACTCTTGGGGATTCGGAATGCTTTTCAGTCCCCATAAATGCTTTATATTACAATTCCTTTAGAGATAATTTAACTACTATGTCTTAAAAAAAAAGATAAATCAAAACCCAAGAACTAGATACAATGGCCTCTAAGTCAAAAAACGAACAAAACTAAACCAGCAGCGTGCTTCTGGCCCCCTTTCCAAGATTTCTTAGCATTAAACAAGAAACTTAAGCGAAGGCCCGTGGCTATAATAAGAATCATGCTAAACATTTTCTCCACCTTCCTCCCAAGCTCAGACACCACCGACCTCCTCACTCTGCACCCAGAGCACAAGCCACTCCGACACGAAAGCAGGGTTTGAATGTGTGCTACTCGATTCCCATTGCACAAGGAAAACACCATCGCTACACAAGAGGACCACTGGAAGTTCAAACACGGAAAAAACCCAACCCAAACCAGCCAACCAAAAAACACCCACAAAGAGCCAGAATTGGAGAGCGTATGGTGATTCTCAAAGCCCAATTCCCACCAGCCTTTGGCATTTTTCCCCAAGCTAACCCTCTCCCAGCATTCTTCTCCAAGAAGGTGATCCTCTCTCCGTCTCCAAACACCCATTTCTCCCCAGGGGCCAGGCCCTCCAGCTCAGCTCAGACTTTTCCCTCCTTCTCGGCTCTCCTCCTGCCTGCACTCAAACAGGCTCCTTCCACAGGTCTGCCCAGGCTGTCCCTGCAAAGGACATCCCGCTGGCACTGCTGACACGTGGGCTGCAACCAGCCCAGACCGTCTGGTCACCAACAGCCACGAGCGGAAGGTACCTCTCAACACAAACACCATCTCTGGCCATAGCAGCTGCTCTTACAACCTAAAGTCCCTCCTCCAGACCATAGAAGAGGTGAAGCTTCTCAAAGAATTGAGGTTTTTTTACTAAAATATAGAGTAACGAGGTCTTCAGGAAGAGGAGGAAGGTAAATGTGCTGAGGTTTTGAGCTACCACTTCTAAGAATAAAGCTAATTTAAAAACAGTATCTAGCAGCAACAGAGCGAGGGAAATTCCTGCCCCAAAAACCTGCAGTTTGGCAGTGTTATAAGCAATAAACCCAGGGTTTTATAACAGAAAACAGTATGCAAATTTAGAAATCATCTGCATTGCCAGCCTTTCCTAAAACTGCCACAATAAAATGCTGTGGTAAGAGAATGTTAATGGAGGTTGCAAATCCAAGCTCTGAAAAACTGGCAGAATCAAAGATAGCTGCAAAACCTTGACTCGCCTTTCTCACGTACTAAAAAAAAACCCTCTGCAGAGCCCACTTTCCCCAAGTGCATGCAGCAGACCAGGTTTGGTAAAATTGTCCGGTATTTCTTCTTGTAACTCACCACACGGCCCCGTGCCCTATTTATTTCATACCAGCCAGGCCATGCACAGAATGAACAATATTTAATTTTCTCAGGGGCTCAAAGCCACAGCATTCATCACTGCTCCATCCCGTTGCCTCAAAAGCTTCCAATTCACTTTCACAGTATCTCTGTGACATTTTTCATATATATATATATATATTAACCCCTCTACAGAAACAATGGGAGCACAGACCAAGGCCA